CTCTCCACCCAGCACTGGCAAGGCCACAGCTGGACTATTGGCTCCAGTTCTGGCCCACGGACATACTGGAGAGTCCAGCAAATGGCCACAAACATGGTGAAGGGACTGGAGCAACTCTCCCAAGAGGAAAGGCTGAGCTGGGCCTGCTCAGCCTGGAGAAGAGAGGGCTCAGGGGGCATCTCCTCCATGGATGCACATTTCTGAAGGGAGAGTGCAAAGAGGATGGGTCCAGGTGCTTTTCAGTGGTGCCCAGTGCCAGGACCAGAGGCCGTGGGCCCAAACTGAGACATGGGATGTTCCATTTGAACATCAGGAAACACTTTTGTACTGAGAGGGTGACTGAGCACTGGCACGGGTTACCCAGGGAGATTGTGAAGTCTCAATCCTTGGAGATACACAGAATTTGTCTGGATTTGGCCCTTGGCAACCAGCTCTCAGTGACCCTGCTGGAGCAGTGAGGCTGCACCAGACGACCTCCAGATGTCCCTTTCAAACTCAACCATTCTGGGATTCTGAGAAAATGCCTTTTATGTAAATTAAAGATCAATACTGAGGCAGAAAAATTGAATCTGAAATATGTTATATGGAGACAGTGTAATCTAGGATTTTTTACAAGAAAAAAAATGTCACATTGAATTTGATCTCTATTCTCCACACTGGATATGAAAGGAAAATATTTTATGTAGTTTTGACACTAAAATTAAACACTTTCATTCCTGCTATAATTCTTGCTATAATTCCATAGAAAGGCTTTCAAATGAATTTTTGCAGGTGTTGATTCTGAAATCATCCATTGGTATTCTAGTTAGGGGCATGACTTGGAAACATATCAAGTATCTGGATGGTATATGCAACATCCTACTGAAAGTATTACACTGAATCCAGAGAGTGGTTGTGGTCAGTAAGGAAACAGATGAAAGTCTCAAATATTGTGAAGTCAGCATTCTCGGGAAGAAACTAGAAAACATTAAGCCAATGAATCTTAGCAAGCTAATGGAACTAATAAAACAGAAATATGGGGGTATAACTATATTATGTTAGGAGAACAAATGAAATAGAGGAGGCTGCTCCAGGAAGACAAAGGTAAAAAGATAAAGGCATCGGACTAATTAAAACTGAACATTAGCAATGGGATAAAAAATGCAGAAAATAAATTTGCTTTTGTTAAAACTATTTAGAGGGAAGATGATTAAAGCAATTCTGTTAGGATGGTGCTGAGAGTTACTACAGACTGTAAAACAGTCACACCTTGGGATCCCATAAGCAGTCACAGAAAGTGACCAGAAAACTGAGGACAAGAACAGGAGAGGAATCAGAATTGGCGTACTGGTGAAATGGAGAGGATATCAGTAAGATTGTTCCTCACCTGGTATTACTGAAATGGCTTTCAAAGTCCTCAGTACTCTGAAAGTTCGAAGAGCTGAAACATTGCCTATATTTTGAAACATGGTAATATACCTGTAAAATGAAAGCACACAGGACTGAATGGCAAGGATGTAGCTTTTCAAACCATGAGCATGTTGAGCCAGCCTATGACTATTTTTCTCTTTGCAGATGTGCAAACGGTGGTTCAAGTAACTCTTTAGCAGGTAGGATGCCAAACACTCTAAGGAATTTCAGCCACATCAAATGGTACTTTATCTGGGTTTTTGTCTTGAGTGTAAAACAAAACTGAGTTGTACTTACATTACAATAATAACAGAAAGATCCAAGCAGTTCCATGGATCTCGAAGAAAGGTAAATTCATTCCAAACAAATCCTGTTGCCACTATTTTTATCAATATTTCAGTAGTATATATGGCAGTAAAAGCAATTCTGAGGAGGAAAGAATATATTAAAGGTATAGAAATAAAAATATTAATGAGATTGAGTCACATTCAGACATTTCCTAAGATTTAGTCCTTGAATAGAGTAAAGGCAGACAATGTGAAGTAAAATAGGACTGGTAACATTAACTTCAGAAACATGGCTATAAGAAGATATGTTCCTGAATTCTAGTATGATTTCCATGTAAGTCTGTAACCACAAAAGTTCACATAAGCATGTAACACTATTTCTGAGTGAAGGATAGCTTACACTTTCTTAGGAAACACTTTTAACACTGTGTTTATATTCTAATGCAGGCTGGAAAATCACAACATTCTGGCAGATCAATAGAACAAATAACCTATAACTGCAAGAAATCCCACAGAAAATTAAGCTATTGTTATCACCATCCTTACTCCAAGATTAAAGGAATT